GTGACAGAAATGGAGCTGGAGAGAGAATGATCGAATTTTGCACAATCAATGACTTATTCATAGCAAATATATTTTTTAAGAGACATAAACGCAGGTTATATACCTGGATTTCACCTGATGGTATGCATAGGAATCAGATTGATTACATCTGTGAAAGAAACACTGGAGAAAAAGGCTGGTAGCATACCTAATTTTAAATACCTTGAATGTGGAAAATGATTGCCTCCCCACAGCTGCTATTCTCTCACCCACAGGTCTGGGCTCATTCTAAACCCCAGTCTCTCTGCCGTTAGTTTCTGCTTTGAACTCCCTCTCACATCTACGTTTGCACATTCTTACAAACCTTTCAAGGTTGGAAATAAGTATGTGCTCTCTGCCCACCCTTTGGAAAATGAGACACAAACAAACATCTCCAGTCTTCTGGATGCTGTGGAATGTCAGAAAAGGGCCCGGGAGCCGAGTGCCGGCTCCACCCAATCCCTATGGGGAAAGTGGTTTGGACGAGAGTTCACTCTTCTGCTTTCTCAGTCCTACAGAGCAACACACCACCACCTCACTGCTGTCTTATTTCACTGCCCTACAGCTGATGTGGTCTGAGGCCTAGTCATTGGTCCGTGGAAAGAGATGCTGTGTGCTGCCTCCAGGTTCAGCCAACAAAAACCTACTCTGGACTCGTCTTTTCCTCCCCACCCCATCTGCTGGATGGACATAAAGAACTGGGGAGAGGACTTGTCAGCCCACAAGAAGGAATGAATCTGGGTGCTCACGTGACCATCTACTCAGCTTCCTGTCCAGTAGGAATATCTGGAATGAACCAGAAATAAAGCTCAGGATGCCAAGCCCTAAAGCCTTGGGCAGGAGTCAGTGGAAACAACTAGTGTGACAGACCAGACTTAACACTGAAGTCTCTTGCCATGCAGCTCTCAGCTCGAAAGACTCGTAAATAATCACCCAATTTCAAGTTGCTACCAACATAGTCTGTACGTTAACCTGCTGAGTTAAGTCACTGCATTAGCCCTGAACACTCTCTACTTCTCTGAGCTTATTTGGAGATTTCTTTATTTTGAAGTTTCTCTTCTACCCTGGAAAGTAGGATCCACCTCCTTAGATTGACCTTGACCACTTTTGAAAGCAGAGCTAATATGGTGCCTGGCACAGAAGCGAAGCCAAGTTTTCCTGGGAGTGGGATTCAGGATAAAATCTCCTTAGTTTTCTCTTCAAAACCTCTAAGAGCAGTGCTTGGTTCAGACTGCTATTTTTAAAAGTTCCAACCAATAAAACAAAGAATAGTGATGACTTCTTTTTTTTCCTAGTCAGGACACAACTGGGCGGGCGATGACATATGTTAGAGTCACAGTCAACTTATTCTTTTTTTTTTTTTCACTTCACAGGCAGCCTGCAGATCAAATAAGATGAACACCCCTTCCATTCTTCACCTGTCATTCATACAAGAAGATACACAGGACTGTGGAGAGACACAATGGGGTCCAGTCCTCCAGAGGTCCTCTCCCTTGTCTGACTCGGACTGTCACCCTTACCCGTGTAGAATTACAGTGCACTGTGGCCATGTCCCCAGGTGTTCGCTCAAAGAAGAGCTGCTAATCTAATGAAGTAAAATGAGATTCTGATCAGGCTCTAGTGCTCTAATCTGTCTCACTGCTAATCAATAGGCTGCCTCTCTGATGGCTGGAATCTACCAGCTGCTCTGAGAGAGAAAGATGGGCAGACCTCTCCTGTTTTAGGATTTTCAGCCTTGAAAACTTGAAAGAGGGCTGCTACGAGTTGGAACAGACAACAGCGCTGAATCTGAGTGTATGTTTACAAGTAAAACTGCATAGAAGTCATGACCCCAAGTTACTACACAGTTGAGTTCTATTGAATCACACTTGCAACACTCAGTTTTTGTAAAAAATACATCTTACCATTAATAAGGAGAAATGGGGGGTCAAGATTGGTGGACGATTTATCAACAATCTGCGTTATACAGATGACACAACCCTGCTTGCTGAAACCGAGGAGGACCTGAAGCACCTGCTGCAGAGGGTCAAGGACTGCAGCCTCCAATATGGACTGAGGCTCAATGTTAAGAAGACAAAGATTCTCACCACTGAACCAATTGGCAGCATCAGGGTGGATGGTGAAGAGATTGAGATTGTTCACAGCTTTAGTTTGCTTGGCTCCACAGTCAACACTCTTGGCACCAGTAGCCAGGAAATAAAAAGGCTCATTGCCATGGAAAAGTCTGCTGTTAGGGACCTCTCCAAAGTACTGAAGAGCAATAGTGTCTCTCTGGAGACTAAGGTGCATCTGATACAGGCCATGGCCTTCCCAATCATTTGTTATGCATCAGAGAGTTGGACAATGACCAAGGAGGAGAATTGATGCCTTTGAGCTGTGGTGCTGGTGAAGAGTATTGAGAGTACCATGGACTGCTAGGAAAACAAACAGATTCATCCTGGAAAGGGTTAAACCAGGTGGCTCCTTGGAGGCAAGGATTCTGAGGCTCCATCTAACATACTTTGGACATGTTGTAAGGAGAGACTGGTCCTTGGAGAAGGACATCATGCTTGGTAGGGTGGAGGGACAGCGCAGGAGGGGAAGGCCCTCTATGAGGTGGATTGATTCAGTGACTGGGATAATCGGGATGGGAGTGTCAGAGACAGTGCAATTGGCACAGGATAGAGCAGAGTTTAGGGCTGTTGTACATAGGGTCGCTATGAGTCGCAAGCGACTTGACGGCACATAACAACCACCACCACCACCACCATTAATAAAATGTACTGTGTACAGTTCTGCAGTATGTAATTTGAGGATGTTATCAGATGTTTACTCTTGATGAGTTACTATTTAAAATCTTGCTTTATAAAAATATTGCTTTATAACAGGCTCTGATCTAGTCTCCAATAAGGCTGGTGCTGGGAGTCATAACAGAGAAAGATGAGCAATGTCAATTCTAATGCCATCTGACGACCAAATGAGTGGGATGAGAGCATGTGGATCTTCTCCTCATTGTAAGTAACAGGCAAGGGCCGAAGCACCTACACTAATGTCAAGTAAGCAAAAGTGTCTCGCTTCAATAAAACCAGCAGCATTCCTGAAGAGACATGGAGAGACGGACTCACTTTCAGTTTACTAGGGTGGCTTCACAGAGATGAATCATTTTATGGCTAATAATAGAATCTTTCACTAAAAAGAAATACCAGTGAATGTCCGTTTCATAAGTATTTGATTTCTGAGTTATAACCTCAGAGAAATAGTGGACACCAAATTTTGATCAAAGAAGAGAAAAATCTAAGTTTTTTTCACCCAAAACCAAATTGACTGTTATCATCAGTTCCCTCCATCAAGTTTCCAAGGTTACAGCTCTTTAGGAGAGTAAATGGTACAGCTTTTGCCTGCAGACCTGCTGGCAGACTGGAGCTGAGAATATCTGATTAGCAGATTTATGTATATGCCCTTTGTCACCAGGGCTTCTGTTACCCAAGTAAATAAAAATTTTATCAATAATTGCCAACATGAATAGCCTATCTCCTCTCACATCAAGATGATTATAGATATTTTCCCATTCATTTATCTTGTTCAATCCTTAGGACAAGGCGGTCACTAATTATTTGAATTTGACATGGAAAGGAACAGAAATAAAGTCAGGTTAAGTGACTTGTCCAAGGCCAGTCTCACAGAACTGAAAGGACATGCATAATCCTATTAATGTTCATCAGAATCAACTCATAGCTGACCCTCCAGGGGGTTTTCAGTACATGGTACAGAAGGAGATTGTGTGAAGCAGTTGGTAGATTCAAACTGCTTATCTTTGAGTGGATGGTGCAAATCCTTATCCACAAGGTCATCTGAGCTCCTTGAGTTAAACATAGGGGCTTTCCAAAGAGCAAATGGCATTGTGCCAACTCATTCTTGTTTGAGCAGATTCTTAGGGGCCAAAGGTGTCATCTGAGCAGGGTTACCTGACAGAGAGACTTACAGAGAGTTGGAGTGAGAATTTCTCAGCAGTGGAGTGGAACCCACGGAGCCGTTGTGCGGTAACTTTGGTGAGGAAGGCAAAGAAGAATCCGTCATCTCCTCGATGTCTGAGTGCGAAGACGCTGACTTTGGAGATTTCTTCTTTCCGAAAGCTTGCTTGAAGGAGCTGCGTAACTGAATATATAAGACTGTCAGTCTGGCCAGGACTACAGACAGGCGTAGGGCTTGGCACAACGGAAACATGCAGATAAAGGAGCAATTAATCCTCCCCGTATTTCCCCCACCAGTGGAAAACGTCCCCAACAGCTCTCTCATATCAGTGCATTAGGGAAGAAGAGTTATCTGGTGTGGGCAGCTCAAAGGACTGGACCTGTGGTAACATTCCATGCCTACTCTGGGCTCAAGACTAGATGCCAAACAGCAAGACAGAGCCTAGCTCAGCAGATGGATGGAGGGAAGATGAGGTTACACGGCAACAAAGCGGGATGCCCAGACAACGGTGGCGGATGCAGATGAGATTAGTCGTATTGGTGGATGGGTTAGCTTGGCATCTGAGATTAAAGTTGGTCTCGCTTACCTCATTGACCTGCCAGAGAAAATGCAAGCAAAAATGGGGAAGGGGAAGGAAAAAAGACAATTTTTAACAGAGAAAGCCAGTGACAGGGAAAGCTCTGGACTGGTCAGACACAACATGGCTAATAACACCACACACAGAGGAGGCTTCTGGTAGGAATATGAATCTTTAAAAGCAGTAAGGCACCATCCTCCATCAGGAAAGGAAGGAAATAGCAGGTTGAGGAGTCCCTCACATCTAAATCCTTCCGGCTTCCTCTGGCTGGTTGAAATGGCTGCTCCTTCCCCCTATCTTAGCAGTCACCTCTCTGTACCTAATGAATTAATTTGGGATTGGGGAGGTGAGTGTGCTATTATTCTCAGCTCTAGTAGCTGCACTTGTTTTCCTGATAGCAACATGGTACATCTACTCTGACAGACCTACTAAGAAGTTCTTACAATCCTTGAATACAGAAAAGACAAAATAACAATAAATCGAGAACTAGACTTCTTGTAACTCAAGAAACGGATAAATTTATTCATTGTATTGGGGAAAAAGGAACTCGTATATCACAAATTCCCCAAATGACAAGATGGATCTAAAAATTCTACTAAGAATACAAAGAATCAAAGTTCAATGTCTTCTCTGAAAGCTGTGATAATAAGCATATATTTTCTAGACCCAAAACAATGTGTCATCTTGAATAAAGGTCTTTTGAAAATCAAGTTTTTTGAATGAAAGTCTTCCTCCTTCTGAAAATTATGTCCTGAGGGTTTTCTTGGCAGTTGATAAGTTCAGAAAACAGGTCATTCAAAAAAAAAATGGATGACATTTTTCTACCATTAACTGTCTCATTAGTAACAAACTACAAAGTTTAGAAGAGGAACCTAAATCTCATTTCTCTTTACTATTTTAATCAGATTTCTACAGAATGGTATAGACTTGGCAATCAAACCATCCACCTAAGTCTTTGCCATTACCTCTGGTAAAATATCAGGTAAAAGTGCAGATTGCAAAGATTAGATGGAATTAAACTCTGGGATTATCTGAAGAGACAAATTATTTATCTTCCCTGGTTTTGCTGGCAGCCAAGAATTGCCTAAAAGCAAAATAAATTCGTTTCCCCCGCCCCCACCCCCCGCCGAATCAAATAAGACTGAAAACAGCTATTTAGCAGAGAAAACAATTATTTCATGACTTTGATAATGAAATTGGACCATATTTATCAACTGTGTGTTAAAAATAGAACTATGAAATAATGCCACCTGTTTAGAAATAGCAGTTGAGTTGACAAAAATAATTAGTATTTTAAAAATTTAATCACAATAAAAAGAGGGTCACATTGGCATTTTAGCCTGCCTCCAATGCAAGTCATTAATAAAGTTGCTAAATCCTCAACTCTATCACTGAGACCTCGCCACCCATCCAAGAAAACACAAGATGATTGAAATGTATATGAAATGAATCAAGACATGAAAACTACTATGAAAACATAACCCTACTGACAGTGATAAATGGGACTCTTTGGACACTGGCCAACTTCTGATTGACTTGGGATAGTCTTGCACTGAGGATAAACAGTAGAACTTTAAAAAAAAGGGGGGGGGGGATTTCCCAGGAGAAAGGTAAAACTGTCCAAGATGACACATCACTGAAAACAAGTTCAAGTAGCCCTCTGGGATTATGGAACATAGAGAAGCAACTACAATTGAGACTAATTCCATTTTTAGACCAACCCCAGTTTACAATCACTCACTAATTCATAATATCTACACCATGAACTTTAATTTACAGGGCATGATCAAAAGATCTGCAGAGAAGGTTGGCTTGATGTTCTCTAGTAACCAGGTAAACACATGGATAAAATGTCGGATTAACTCTCACATGTAGAATGATTAACTTGTGATATGAAAGAAATACTTTGGAATGAACCTAGGAAAGCACTAAAAGTATTTTTGTTCTATTATCTAAAATCTGTGGCAAACCTACCATATAAGAAGAAAGAAACAATATGTGAATGGAAGACAAGTATTTCACATAGAGTTTCATGAAACAGAAAAATACAAGATATTGGATATTCTTTAGATCCTAGTGTTTGGCTGACAGAGCACTGTTTATCATGAAAATCTCTCCCCAGAAAATTTCCTTGCATCTATTCCCAAACATTCTAAAGTTAAAGGCTAGCCTTGGCAGCATCCGGGATCTTTCAGGGACACTGGTTCCAAGATGACTCAGTTAGGACCAAGAGAGTCATTGGTTGTCCACTTACCCAGTTCTTTCTCTTCTTTTTCTTGGAATCACTCTCTATGTTGCTGCCTACACTGGAGTGGCTGGTGGCACTGTTGATGCTGGAGACACTGTCAGAAGAGTGCTGCCTGCGGATGCGGAGGTCTGTAGTCTGGGAGGTACCGTTTCCTGGAGACCAAAGGCAGAAGCTATCAGGCGCTGACTTGAGTCCTTTGCTTTGTCCCAGGAAATGGGACAACCAACTCTTAAACTACCATATCTGAGTACTAGGGAGTATTTTGCACCTGACACATTACTTTTTGTTTACCTAGTATTAAGATGCTTATTAAGATGCTTCAGAAGGTGGGGAGTATTCCTTCTTGGCCAAATAACTGAGGTGTCTGTCTGTCCTCTGAAAAACCCAAATCAGAGGAGGCTTAAGGACAGTGGTCTCCAAAGCACAGCTCCTGTTGAATCAGTTCTGATTAATGATGACCCCATGGGCTGCAGAGCCGAACTGTGCTCTAGAGTGCTAAAGGAAGCTCTGAGAAGCTTACTGCGAGGTCTGTTTTCCTAAGTATCTCTGGGTATGTTCCTAACTACTAACTTTTCAGCTAGTAATCAAGTAAAGTATTGTTTGCACCATTCAACTCCTTCTTAAGTCTTAAACAGCACTAAAATGGTAATACAAATAATAGAAACCTTTGTTGTTTGTGTCTTTTTCCTTTGCACTCTATCTAAACTCCTGATGCACTAGCCTTCATGCAGTTCTTTGAGAACGTCAACTCAGCTCACAAGAACGTCACACATGTCAGTGCTTCTGCCCAGGAGGCTCCCTCCCTTAACTCTGCCAGTTCCTGCTAATCCTTCCCATTTCAACTCTTACCACCCCTCTTTCAGGAGGCTTGATAGCTAATATAACACTGACAACAGAAATAAAGTCTACACAATTATGCTGAAGGACTTAAGTTTTATGGTATAAGAACACTAACAGTCAAAGCTAAGGGAATGTTTACACACAGACTCAATCTTGTAGGATTAAAAGGGATGAGATGGGAGAGAGGGTGAATAAAAATTAATAGATTAGATGTTTGATTAGATAATATAATAAATTAGTCAATCAATTATAATTAATGCTATAAAATGAAATGTCTGAGTGAATGAATGAAAAGCCCATAGGATCTCTAAACTCTCATTTAAATAAAAATTTAAAACATTATCGTATTCCTCATGAGCCTAGTTTTTTGTTAGGGTTTTTTTTTTAATTTAAAAAAAAATTTTATTAGTTTAGTTTTTAAGGGTACTTGTAATAAAGTTAGATAGAGTTACATAACAGTCCCACTTCTGGACTTAAAATTGCTTATAATTCCATAGCCTTAGAAAGTGACTCATCCTCAAAATTCAGTATCTCCTCAGAATAAAGGTGGTGTTAGCTTGTTTGGATCCACAATCAACAGTCTTAACACCACCAGTCAGGAAATCAAAAGATGCATTGCACTGGGAAAATCTGCTGTGATGGACCTCTCCAGAGTACTGAAGAGCAATGATGTCAGTCTAGATACAAAGGTGTGCCTAATTCACGCCATCATCTTCCCAATTACTTGTTATGCTTCAGAGTTGGACAATAACTAAGATGACAGAAGAAGAATAGACGCTTTCGAGTTGTGGTGCTGGAGAAGAGTCTTGAACATACTATGGACTGCCAAGAAAACACATAGGTCTGTCTTGGAGAGGGTGAAACCAAGTCTCTCCTTGGAGGCTAGGATTTTGAAGCTTCGTCTCACATACTTGGGGCAAGTGGCCAGGAGATACTGGTCCTTGGAGAAGGACATCATGCTTGGAAGGGTGCATAGACAGTACAGGAGAGGAAGACCCCAGATGAGACAGATTGATTCAGTGACTGGGGCAATGGGGGTAGGTGTGTCAGAATTAGTGAGACTGGCTCAGGACAGGGAAGGGTTTAGAGCTTGTGTACACAGAGTGGTTATAAATCGCGGGTGACTCAATGACACATAACAACAAAAGCATACTATGACAGGTTTGGAAGCAGGAGTGACATCCGTTTCTTAAACATCATACCTCCAGAAACTCTATGAACTTTGAGAAATGTCTATAGTTGTAGAGGGGCTTCAGGCCTTTTGTTCATAGGGTCACTATGAGTTGTGCTCGACTCAAAGGTCATCAACAACCACAATAAGGACATAGTCATTAAATGCTTAAAACACCATAATGTTTAGAACATAGTAAGTGTTCCATAAATGACAGCTATTACTCTTCTATTGCTATTACTCTTCTTATCAGTAGGCAGGAAGTAAGTCACTCACAAATCCCCATTGTTTTATTTTTTTGTGGTTTTTTGTTGTTGTTTCTTTTTTTTTTTTTTTACTGTCTTTCTTTCTTCTAAATAAAAGTCAGAGACCTCTGGTGGCTTAGTGCCAAAACAAAGGCACATCATTTTAATCCACCACTTGCTCCACTGGAGAAAGATGGGCAATCTTCTGGGAGACTTTTAGTGCCTGTGAAAACCTGCCAGAGGGCCAGCTGAATGAGTTTCAACTCTATGGTCCAAAACAACAACAAATAAAGAGTTAGAATACACAGCTTGAATCAATTGACTCATAAACAATCTTTTAGGGCAAATAAGAGATGCACTCAGGTCAGTTCATGCAACATCAACATGCAAGTATCAAAGTGCCAGTGGAGTACTAGGGAGCTCTGGTGGTCTAGTGGTAAGGAGTTTTGCTGCCAATTCAAAGGCACATGGCTGAAATCTACCAGTTGCTCTGAGGGTAAAAGATAGGCATTCTCATCCTGTATGATTTACTGCTTCTGAAAACCTGCTGGAGGGTCAGCTATGAGTTAATTCCAACTCAGTGGTACCTAACAACAACAATAGAGGCTTTTTAAGGACCTGGTCAATAGAAATGTATTTCCTTCTATCTCTGATAAACTTCAGAGAAGAGGATGAGCTGTTATAATCATGTGCACTGAGACCAGAAGTAACCAAAACCAAACCATTTGCTTATCCAACTGGCTAGGAGTTGGACCCTCTAGTATGAAGGCTGTATATGCTGTTGCAGGTGAGCTCATAAGGGAAGGCAGATGGGTGTAACTGAAGTAGAGTTATGAACCAGTTCTTCCTGGTTCAGTAATGGCCGGTGAAGCAAAATCCGAAGAGATCTGAATTTGTAAAATGTAAATGCACTGCAATAATCACCAGAACAGAAAAAAATCAGAACTTGATATTCTGCTAGAAATTTAACCTCCCTCCTAAGAAGAGCAATGTGTGTGCTGTAGGTGAACCAAGTCTCTGGATCGGTAGAGTGAAAAACAGCGGTGCTCAGCTCAAAGATGGCAACTGACGGTGCTGCTCTGAATGTGTGTTGCTCCTCACAGCCCAGGTAATAATGCAGTCTCCCACATCAGGTCCTTGCAGGGACTCACTAGACCTCACCCAAGCCTCCCATTCCAGGGCTTTAACTTGACTTTTTTTTTCATCCTAGTTAACATTCTGGTACACTCACATTTTACAAATCTGGGCCTGTTCTAATCCCACTGTTATCAGTCATAGGTGAGCCAGATGAAAAGTCCAAGGTGGTTTTTATGACTTTACCTTTGCAGTTGAGCTCTGGTGTGTTAATTACTCCATTAATGGCAGCCTGGGCAGCTGCATTCTGTTTCTTAAGTAGCTCGATGGTTTTTCTTAACTCATTCAGTTCTGAATCCTGCAGGATAGGAAAAAAGTGGTGATCCTGAAATCATTCCGTACAGAGACTAAAGAACAATCTAGCTTCAACTGAGGAGGGCGGAAAATGAAGAAAGTCAGCAGAACATTTGTCTTATATGTGAAGGTGCATCAGGTTTTAGTGGACATAAATGAGCAGAAAAATAGAATGATTATGATTAAATTCCAACATTTCAAGAAGTATAGTAAAAGCCATACAATTATTGGAAATGAAAGAAAGCATTATTTTACAGTCTATTGTTAACACCGAGGTAGGAGGTGGGAAAAGCATCCTTTCTGCCTTACCTTTTGCTCAGCTGTCATGGTCAAACTTTGGAGCCTGATGGTCATGTTTCCAAGACTCTGTTCAAAGGCCGCCACAAGATGAGCCTGGAGGTGAAAGACAGGAGTTACCTTACCTTGTGAGACAAGAGTACCTAAGAGGTGCTAGATCTTCAGGACTGAAACAGACATCGTCATGGGTCACTTGATCTAGCTCCTACTTCTTCAGCCCCCTCTAGAATCCCGCCCTACCACTCTTTGGGGTCCAGATGCTCTAATCTTTCACTCTCTCAAACACTGTGCTCCTTCCTATCATACAGCCCTTGTGCGCGTTTCCTTCTTCTGGAATGCTCTCCCCCACACACACTCACTCTCAAACATCCTTCTCAAGAGAACATAGCTCCTGATCCATGACAAACCCAGTCTGGGCTGGTTCCACAGTCACAATGCATTAGTGATATATCCTTTGCGGTAAAACAGTTAAAAATACACAGTCTTGTGATTGCTGATTTATATCCTCCAGTACACTGTTGGACAAGTTTTGTTCACTAAGGGCCAAATTCATAGTAGAGGCTCATACTGAACCTATTTGGGGAACAATAGGCCAAACTGGTTAGCATACTGTGTCTGTTAGAATCATAGTTAATGAAAAGCCACAGAAAGGCCCATCTGCTACCTCCTTGGAGAATCCCTCCCCACTTCCCTAAGGGAGTGAAGATTTTCCCCAGGCTCCTCTGCACTGTTACACACCTCTGCTAGAATACAACTCCAGATGCTCCATTGTTTTATATACTATTAAGAAAGGAAGCATGTTGCCAATTATAATTACAAGATGCGTCCAGTATTTAGCTGCATTTAATTTTTAAATTGTGTATTTCATAATTGTGAAATGTGATGGAGACTGAGATATGGTGTTTTCTTGCCTATACCTTGATGTCCAAGCACCATGCCTGCCTAGGACATAGAGAAGTAGTAAAACACTGGTTGACTAAATAAGGATCCTGACCACATTGTTAAAACCAAGAATAGAGGATGGCTACCTTTTCAAACACTTATGCTAAGAAATTTTTAAGAGATCACACTCAAAGATCCAGCCAAGTTATTCTAATCCCCAACTTCTATTTGTAGAAATGGCACTGGAGCAGGAGATGAGGTGAACTGCTAACTGAGGGACAGATGGTGACTAGTGAAACCATATCTATCTTTCTCACTTTGATATTTACAGTGCTGGCACAAAGTAGCCACTAAGTAAATGAGTGCAAGCTGAACGAATAAAAAACGGAAAAGAAAAAGCGCTTAGCATAGGGAAGCAGTACTAGTTGTACAAGTGCTAAGTGCTGAACTTCTAACCAGAAGGGTGGCAGTTCAAACCTACCCAGGGACTGAGGGGAACGATCTGGAGCTCTGCTCCTGTAAAGACCATCGCCCAGGAAACCCTATGGGGCAGTTCAACAGTGTCACATGGGGTCTCTATGGATCAAAATCATCTTGGCAGCACCCAGCAACAGCAACACTGACGACAATAACAGCACTGGGCAAGACAACAGAAGGTCCTCATTTCTAATCCTAGTTCTCGTGATTATCCATAATTCTGAGCAAATCACCTAATCCAATTGGCCTTGGGGACAAATGTTCTTTCTTTTTTCTCCCCAGATTACTAGAAGTATTCACTAAACTGATACGGCTGAAAATGCTGTATAAACCTGTAATGAACTGCCAAATGCAGGACTGAGTGGATACTGTGGAACTCTAGTGGCTTAGTGGCGAGAAATTTCACCAACACAAGGGTACGTGGTTTAAACCACTAGCTACGTGGTGGGAGAAAAATGGGCAATCTCTTCCCCTCCGATAAACTAGTAAGGAACTGCCTTATGAATAAGCATTATAAAAGAAGGTAAAAAGAAGAGGTTTGAGAAAAAAAAAATGGTAATAGCAATTATAAGATATGTGTTGGATTTTACACAGTGACTGGGTTAATGCAAGCAGGTGTGTCAGAGACAGTGAGACTGGCTCAGGATAGGAAAGGTACCGCTCACAGGGTCGCTATGAGTCATAGCCGACTCAATGGGCATATAACAACAATCACATAAAATGTCTTGCCCAAAAATACGTTTTAGTGAGATTAAATGGGAGTTTAAGGGAAAAGGCAGGTAGACACACAAAGGGATGCAGGAGGATAAGAAAAACTGGGGAAGAGAATCCTTTGGAGAACAGCAATTTCGAGCCTGCTGTAATATTTTGAGGACAGGACAGATGGTGTCTGTAGTGAAGAGTAAGAGAAAGATGAGAACAGGGTTGAAGAGAAGCTTTTGTCCTGGGCTATCAGGAGGCTCAGTGGACAAACTTCAATGTAAGGAGAGTGAAATGGGTCTACTATTAGATTTCATCAACTAGGGCGTAACTAAGTGGAAACTACCTCTTCTAGAATCAACTGTTGAGTCTTCTGTCCGGCAGCCATAGGAGCTGGCAAGGAGCAGGACAAGTTGTGACAGAAATGTTAAGAAGAAATGCATATCCTCCCCCTATTAGAATTTGAGAAAAAGCCTCTGTATTTTAAACTAAAGAGAAATGCTTTTGTCCACCCTGCAGAATGTAGCAAAAGCAAAGTCAATCAACTGAAGATGGTCCTATGTACAGCGGGGAAGGAAATGGGTCAGGATATGGGGATGTAAAAGAATGACTACTATCTTTGTATTTCAGAAAGAAAAAAATTACCAAGAAGCTTGAATGACTAAATTTCTATTTATTTCCATCTTGTGCTTGTTTGCCACCCACACATGATCGAGCTCTCAGGTTTTCTATTCCCATTAAAAGTAAAAACAAAAACTTGGCCTCATGAAGTCTGTAATTGAGGAAGTGTTTTTGTAAGCTCTACGAGAAACCAGACTTACTCTGAAGAGCCAGCCAGTTCAGAGCAGAGGGTCTCATTCTGCTTGGCTAACTTGAGGACCGTTTTTATGTCATGAGTGCAACTACAAAAATATGGGCTGGGCTGGTGATTCCAAGCCGGTGCAGAGCCACACAACTGACCTTCTCATCAATCACCATTCTCACATTCCCAGGGAAAACAAACATGAGTGGTACAAAAACACCCAGAGAAGGTGGCTTTGAGTAGTTTGTCCTAGAAAAACAAACACAGCTTGGCCTGTGAGAAAGATGACAGACAATAAAACATGCTGGCCCTGCCTGTAGAGTGTGGTAAGACTAAATATTGACTTTAAAACAATACCTGATTCAATGGCTTTCGTGGGGAGCAAAAACTCACTTTGCTAATAATGGAAGGGCTCCCATTTTGACCCTTCTGGAATAGAGAATGGACTTCCAAAAGGCCTCACGGGGGTCTGGCTCATTGTAATAATTAACCTAGGCTCATTTATAAGCCAGTCAATAATGTTGGTGATTCAGAAGGAGGTTATTATTCTAAACTAGGACAGAACTTTAGAATCACTTGGAAGGCAGTTGGGGTTGTGTGGACTTGACTCATCAGACCTTAACTCAGTGGGACTGAGGCGGGTCACAGAGTTTCATTTATGTATTTGGCTACTTAGATGATGCATCTATTCACAGAAGAAAATACCCCTTAGGATCTAAGCCTCAAAGTTCAGTTCTCATATCAGTTCCCGATATGTTTTCAGAAACATTACTGGTGGTGGAAGAGGTTAAAAAAAATAAAGTATTATAAATAAGCAGGGGTCAAGTATGGCATGGTTTGGTTTGGTGGTTTGTTGTGTGTTTTTTTACATTTTATATATTTTATTATTGGTTTGCTTACAAAGTTTATTTACATTGTGTTTCACACTATTTTTCATTCACGTTGGTTTTGAAGGAAAAAAATAAAATCAGAGCTCCAAAATACGATACATATCAAGAGACTGAACAATGATGACATTAGCTAGCACTTGAGCTACTCACTAAGGTCAAGCATAGCGCTAGGAACTTTATATGCGTATTTTAAAGAGAATTACTTTCCATGAATGGGTCTATTGCTAGTTGATTCCTGATCCATTAATCACATGTAATAGGAGAGAACCGCCCCGGAGGGCTTCCAAGGCTGGGCGCCTGACAGAAGCAGACTGCACGTCTTTCTCCTGTGAATTGGCTGATGAGTTCAAATGCTGACCTTTCTAGTTAGCACTAAGTGCTTAACCTCTCTCCGTTCTACCTCCCTGAGTGGACGCAGGTTCAAGCTGCATCCTGGCCAGCTGCTGTTGAGATGATTCTGACTGATCGCAACCCAGGTACATCAAAAACTGACTACCCCACAGGGCCTCCAGGAGCCCGTTTTCAGGAAGTACCTTGTCAGGTCTTTCTTCTAAATAGATTCAAATCCCTAACCTTTCGGTTAGCAAGTGAGCCTGTTGATCATTTACACCACCAAGGAATCCAAAAATTGGGAGTTTACCTGGATGAAAACTCCAGGTAAATGACTAATCCTGAGAACTGACTCCATTTTCTGGTTAAAGAAAGATAATCCTAAAAATCCAAAATCTCTATAAATGTTCATTGAAATTAAAAAATAAAAATATAAAGCCACTGACCTAGCTGTTGGGGGGGAAAAAAACAAACCCAAAACAAAAACTAATGAGTAACTAATTCAGTCTATGGTCTTCTCAATTATCTGCTGTGCATCTAAAAGTTGGTCAACAAGGATTATGGAGAATAATTGGTGATTATGAAGATTACTGAATTTCCTTTTGACTGCCAAAAGAAGAAATAAAGATATCATAGAGGAAAACAAAACAAAACAAAAACAAAAATAAAAAGCCATTATTTTAACAAAACTGCAAAGTGAAGCAGGATCATTTATTTCTTTATGTCAGAAGCACGCACACACATACACACACACACTCTTATCTATAGAAACTCAGATTTATCTATGGAAACTCAGTCTCTGGCCTCAGAGACCCTCAGCACCGCCTGACACGCCTGACACGTTGAGCTCCACCTTCTAAGCATCAGTCCCGCCCTCTGCAGACCTCTGCCTGCACTCTGAATCCTCTGTCCAGGATCTCTGTAAAGAGCTGATCTGACCACCTCACTACTCTGCTGAAACTCCCTGATATTTACTAACTTCAGGTGAAAGCACAAACTCTCAGTCTGTCCCTTTCCTTTCTTCATTGCTGCCTGCTTTCTTCTCTCCACCTTCCTTCTTTGCCCTCATTCTAACCTGGGATTCTAATTACCCAAAGCTGCTTATCATTTCTAACTGCACCAGTATCTTTCACACTGGGCCTGTGCACACTGTTTTCTTTGATTAAAATGACAGGACACTGTCTTCCCCACACATTCTTCCTCTACACAGTACTCATCAGAGCCCCGCCTGACGCCTCCCTTGCTGGAGAGACTTCCTCCCCTCTCCTCTAAGGCAGTGTTAGGTGGGTGCTCTGCCTATATAGTCCCTCAACCTCCTCCCTTCGTCTCTATCATAACAGTTAACGTGTCCCAGCAGATTTGCTTGCTTTGTCTCTCTGCTCGACGGGAGACGGAATGCTAAGACAACAGTGACTGTGACTGCTGTGCTGTTGAACCTCCAATGCCCAGGGCACGGCTGGCACATAAACAGTTGCTGAATTGAACGCTGGTTGGCAGTGCTTCCTGAACATGTGATGTTGAGCATTATAATCACAGAGCAGCTGGCTATTGTGGAAACCTGGGTTTCTTTCCTCCTCCTCTTTTAATTTTTTTTCTCTCATGCCCCACTAAGATAAAAGTTCCAGACTGATCCCATTATAACCCTAACAGGTCCCTGCCATTTTAAAGACAAGCAAATGACTTGCCCAAATTCCCTGAGTGGGCCCCTGGGAGAGCTGACATTCACCCAGGCTCTGAAGCCCCTACTCATTGAATTGTGGTGCTGGCAAAGAGTAGAAAATACTCCATGGATTGTCAAAAGAAATAACAAATCTGTTTTGGAAGAAGTGCAACCAGGGCGCACCTCAGAGGCAAGGATAGTGAAACATTGTGTCACATATTTCGGGCATGTTATTAGCAGAAGCTAATTCTCAGAAAATGATAACAGTACTGGGGGGAAATCGAACAAGAGGAACACCTTTCATGAGGTGGATGGACACAGTGACTACAATAGGGGGTTTCAGCATAGCAAAGATTATGAGGACGGCGTAGGACAGGGCAAGATTCCAATTCTGTTGTTGGCAGGGATGTTATGAGCAGTAGCAGACTTGACCCTTAACAACATACAAACATCTAGGATGTCCAGAGGCAGCAGGTGATTAAGACAAGCGGTCACTACGCCGCGGCTGTACTTACATTTGCTGTCAGCTGAGTGGTCAGAGCTGAAACCTTTTCCTGGGAGGCATCCAGCTCCCGTCGGAGTTTGCGAATCTAAAGATGAAGAGGTCAGAGTTAACTTTTTTTGAGAATCCATTCTCAGGTCCGGCTGCGTAATAAAATAGGATAGTAGTGAAAGCAGGAATCCAATTAGTAAACTATTCCTTACCTCTGACTGGCACTTTTCTTCTGGCTGTAAAGAAAATAAAAGAAAAATTAGCCCCTCTGAGTAACAAACTATAGTCCAAACCATAGAACTAGCAATCTTCTCTAGTTTATTTCTCTAGCTAAATTGGTTTAAATCACTTTACCAGTCAGAAAGAGTCAAATACAAATAGCATAGTATTAGAAGATACAATGTTTCTTGGTTGTGAGGAACCACCCTATTTCCTAGTGTGAGGAGACCGG